AGGGGGGGCGGGGGGGCAGCACTGTGGATCAGAGCCACTCGTCCTTTATACTTAAGTCATAACCCAGGACACCTGGGTGCACATGCGCAATTATTAGGCAATAACCAAGGAACACCACCTGGGCGCACGTGGATATTTACATCAAATGCTGGGTAAGATTCTGAACATCTGAGGGGCCCTGACCTTTTTCCTGTATTTTCCCTACAAAGGGACCTGGGCGTTGGTGTATGTTGAAAGCTCCCATGTGGTTCTGTTATATAGCCAGGGCTGAGAACCACTGCGTTAAGTTTTTTAAAGAGGAAAAAACAAAAACGAAAACAAAAAAACTGCGGGCAAGTGATAATGTTGTCAACTAAAAGTGAAACAGATACAATATTCAGACTTTCCTTTTCTACCACTGTAGGTTATCAGCTCAATTCTGCTGAATGTGTGGATATCCGCTTGAAGAGGGTTGTTCCTGACCATTACTGCCATTACTATCCTGAAAATGTAAAACCCAAACCAAAACTGAAGGAATGCAGCATGGATCCTTGCCCATCGAGGTCTGTGTAATTGCCCACACATTTTTTTTACTTTAAAAAGAAACAAATCAACTGTGGCTGAGACTGATCCATCCTTGCAGGGCAATACACATTTGCATTTCCTGACTTTGAACATACACTGGTGGCAGGTGCCTGCATTCACATTTATAACTGTGGGCAGTAGGGATTAGGACACATTTGCTCATCTGTTCACTCAGTCCAGCTCTCTGTTGTCATGGGCTATGTGTCCATAAGCTCTTTATAATGAACCTTTTTGAGCACCTCCTGCATATAAATTATTAAAGATCTCTTCATCAAGTGCGATATCTAGTCCATCTGCTAGTCATAAATACCTTTCACTCACTATTTAACTTTTAAACTGGGTCACCCATTACCACATTTTGACTTTTGAAGTGTTCACATTAAATTTAGTATAAATAATGTATTGTGCAAGGAAGTAAAAAATTGTAATGCCAAAGCAGAAAAGCCGTGCATAAACTACCCTATTGCATTATTTAGTACCTGCTGACTTGGATTGCTTGGGGAAGTTTCCTGGCTTTACTACAGTATCTTAAAATAACAGCACAATATCAAGTCCCAGAATCCCCCGTATATCTGCCAGCTGGCTAAGGCAGAAGTGTGCAAGTGGAAAGGAAACGTTCTCAGTGGATTTCATTTCCTATCAGTATACTGCCCATTTTCTGCAATCCTGATTGAACATAATAATTAATGGAGACCTTTCAAAGAAAAAATTCTGTGAAATAAAGTGGCTTTCTGAAGATCCTACTAATGTGACAGTGTGTTAATATCAATGATATATTTTATCAGAATAATAATAAAAAGGAATAAATAGATTATCTAAATTAAGAGAATTTTTTCCTTTGGTTAATACACCTCTAGCTCTGTTTTCTATATTTTTATATGCAGCTGGGAATGGTTTGTGTCAGAGATGTTCCTGAAAATTAAAGAGAATAGTGGCTGAATTTTGGGAAATGGTTCATAACACTTGGCATTGTAGTTTTCAGTTTGAAAGAGCTCTGTCTCTTGGTATGTCAAATCTGTATTAGTCAATTAATAAATGTATTAATTGACTTAGAAATGATATTTTCACAATGCTTTCATTTGTAGTGATGGATTTAAAGAGATTATGCCCTATGACCCAATATTCTGTCGTATAACTTCGTATAATGTATGCTATACGAAGTGATTACCTATCTGCCAGCTGGCTAAGGCCGAAGTGTGCAAGTGGAAAGGAAACGTTCTCAGTGGATTTCATTTCCTATCAGTATACTGCCCATTTTCTGCAATCCTGATTGAACATAATAATTAATGGAGACCTTTCAAAGAAAAAATTCTGTGAAATAAAGTGGCTTTCTGAAGATCCTACTAATGTGACAGTGTGTTAATATCAATGATATATTTTATCAGAATAATAATAAAAAGGAATAAATAGATTATCTAAATTAAGAGAATTTTTTCCTTTGGTTAATACACCTCTAGCTCTGTTTTCTATATTTTTATATGCAGCTGGGAATGGTTTGTGTCAGAGATGTTCCTGAAAATTAAAGAGAATAGTGGCTGAATTTTGGGAAATGGTTCATAACACTTGGCATTGTAGTTTTCAGTTTGAAAGAGCTCTGTCTCTTGGTATGTCAAATCTGTATTAGTCAATTAATAAATGTATTAATTGACTTAGAAATGATATTTTCACAATGCTTTCATTTGTAGTGATGGATTTAAAGAGATTATGCCCTATGACCACTTCCAACCTCTTCCTCGGTGAGTTATGTTTTTCCTTTTTCCTTTTTGCAGTTTATTGGAAGTTGTTTGCAAGGAATGATAGCACCTGTGGCAATAGTCTACAGTGTATGAGGGATAGATCTGAAACCGTGTTCAGAGCTAAAGGAAAACAGGCTTTGACTCAGTAATAATTATTTCTAAGAATTAGATGAAATAGGCTGCCTCTAAGTGATGTTTCCCATCACTGGAGATGTCAAGCATATCATAGAAAGAGCATAAAGCATTGTAATTGATCAGAATCTCCCACCTTTTTTTAACAAAGAAGATAAATGTATTCAAAATAAAATCTCTGTGGCATTCTCTATCATTTTATTTATTTATAAAAGGGAAATTTAATATATATGCATACATTAATAAAACCAAAAGATTTCATATCACTGATTACTTTTGTACCTTAGTAAACTAGAAAATAAAGAGCAAACTGAGCCCAGACCAAGCAAAGGAAGTAAATAATAAAAGTTAGAGCATAGATAAAAGAAATAGAAAATAGAAAAAAAAATAGAGAAAATCTATGAAACCAAAAGTTGGTACTTTGATGAGATCCACAAAATGGACAAACCTTTACTAGATGGGCTAAGAAAAAAGAGAGAAGACTGAAATAACTAAAATCAGAAATGAAAGAGGGCTCATTACAACCAAATTTATAGATATCAAAAGGCTAATAAAAGAATACTATGAATAATTGTTGGTTAACAATTTAGATCATCTAGATGAAGTGAATAAATTCCTACAAACACACCACCTATCGACTCAATTATGAAAAAACACAAAGTTTGAACAGAACTATAGTTGGTAAGATGAGTGATTATCATTTTTATGGTTTCCTGATGAAGGACTCTCTTGAGGATTTCTTTCAGGGCTGGTGGTGTGGTGGTGAACTCCTGCGGTTTTTCTTTGTCTAGAAAATACATGATTTCTTCCCAATTTCTGAAGGATAGCCTTGCTGGGTGTAGTATTCTTGGCATTTAGTATTTTGAATATATCATCCCACTTTCTCCTAGCCTGTAGAGTATCTCTTGAGAAATTTGCTGTTAGTCTGAAAGGTGCTCCCATATAGGTGACTTCATGCTAAAAAGAAGCAGGGAAACTGTCATTGAGCCTTGCCAGTTTGACTGTAATGTGTCTTAGAGAGGATCTTTTTGGATTGTATCTGTTTGGGGATCTTTGAGCCTCTTAGTTCTGAATGTCTGTCTTTCCCTATACCTAGGAAGTTTTCCATTATTATTTCTTTGAGTTGGTAAGATGAGTGATTATCATTTTTATGGTTTCCTGATGAAGGACTCTCTTGAGGATTTCTTTCAGGGCTGGTGGTGTGGTGGTGAACTCCTGTGGTTTTTCTTTGTCTAGAAAATACACGATTTCTTCCCAATTTCTGAAGGATAGCCTTACTGGGTGTAGTATTCTTGGCTGGCAGTGTTCTTCTTTAGTATTTTGAATATATCATCCCACTTTCTCCTGGCCTGTAGAGTTTCTCTTGAGAAATGTGCTGTTAGTCTGAAAGGGGCTCCCATACAGGTGACTTCATGCTAAAAAGAAGCAGGGAAACTGTCATTGAGCCTTGCCAGTTTGACTGTAATGTGTCTTAGAAAGGATCTTTTTGGATTGTATCTGTTTGGGGATCTTTGAACCTCCTAGTTCTGAATGTCTGTCTTTCCCTATACCTAGGAAGTTTTCCATTATTATTTCTTTGAATAGGTTTCTCATGCCTTTTCTTTTCTCCTCCCCTTCTGGAACACCTATGATTCAAATGTTTGTGCACTTAAGGTTGTCTGCTAGCTCTCTTAGATTTTCTTCATTTTTTAAAATTGCTTTTTTTTTTTCTTTTTGGTCCACCTGGGTTATTTCAAAAAGACTATCTTCAAGATCAGAAATTCTTTCTCCTGCTTGTTCTAGCCTGCTGCTTAATTGTGTTTTTTATTTAGTTGAGTGAATCTTTCAGTTCCATGAGTTCTGCTACACTCTTTTTTAAGGTATTAATCTTTTTGTAAATGTCCTCCTTCATATCCTGGATTTTTTTTCTGGTATCATTATGTTGTCTGAGTCTTCTCGTATCTCAATGAGTTTCCTTAAGATTGTTGCTCAGAATTCCTTTTCAGTCATTTCAAGGGTTTCCTGCTGTATATGGTCTGGTATTTGAGAATTACTGTATTCTTTTGGTGGTATCATATTTTCTTGGTTTTTCATATTTCTAGTATCTCTGCATTGATGTCTGGTCATCTGGTAGAGCAGTTGCTCATTCTGTTACTCTGCAGTGGGCTTTGAGGAGAGAGACGTCTTCTTTTACCTGGCTCCACTCGTGATTCTTCTTGTGTCAATGCAGCCGAGTGTCTGACGGGCCACCTGCACAACTGCTGTGGCTACTTCTGTGGCGTTGAGCCACTATTGCTGTAGCTGGGGCTGTGGCAGTGGCTGTGGTGGGCCACCAGTGTGGAAATGGTTTAGATTGCTCCTTGCATGCTTCCAGGTGGGGGATGATGCCCTTGGCTCTTGCCTAGGACCCCAGGTGTGCTCTGCTTCTTACCTGCTTCCAGACAGAGGGGGCTGCCCTTGGCTCCTTGAAATTTGAATCCCCTTTTATACCTAGATTGCTCATATGGTTCTTTCTCACTGAGTTTCTATGATTCTCTAATAATATTGGCCATTAGTATTTTACAGTTTGGAGACAGTTTAAAAGATGCTTTTACACTCATATCATAATTGATTTAGTTCTCACGATAGCCCCATGAAGGGTTACTAGGGCAGGTGTATTATTCCCATTTGACAGAAACCTTAGTTTCAGAGGAGTTAAGTACCCTGTGACTACAGATTGTGTATAGCAGTTAAGATTAAAGTCTTATAACTCCAAGTCCTGTGCTGTTTCAACTGAAGCACAACTGATAACTTGAGGCCATACTTTATGCAACCATCTTTGCAAACTTGAAACAAACAAACAACAAATAAATAATTTATTTTTATTTGTTTGCTTTTGAGCTGGGAACATAATCCTTGGACGTCTTGTTCGGTGTCCTGTGGAGGAGGGATTCAGAAACGGACCTTTGTGTGTGTGGAGGAATCCATGCATGGAGAGATACTACAAGTGGAAGAATGGAAGTGCATGTATGCGCCCAAACCCAAGGTTATGCAAACTTGCAATCTGTTCGATTGCCCCAAGTGGATCGCCATGGAGTGGTCTCAGGTGAGATTTGAGAACATGCCACTCTTAATTCAATCTCAGATTTTGATGACTCTCTGGTATGTGCCCAACACTGTATTGACAGCATGGGGATGCAAAAGTTATACTTGAACATGGTCCCTCCTTCCAAAGAGCTTAGGAAGACAGAGGACAATAATGTAAGAGAGACCACAAGCATCANTCTGTTCGATTGCCCCAAGTGGATCGCCATGGAGTGGTCTCAGGTGAGATTTGAGAACATGCCACTCTTAATTCAATCTCAGATTTTGATGACTCTCTGGTATGTGCCCAACACTGTATTGACAGCATGGGGATGCAAAAGTTATACTTGAACATGGTCCCTCCTTCCGTCCCTCCTTCTAAAGAGCTTAGGAAGACAGAGGACAATAATGTAAGAGAGACCACAAGCATCAGCATAGGTCAGGGTAATTAATATTCAGGACTGTCGTACATCTGGAAGGAACAGATGTTGAAGGAAACAGTCAATCGGGAAGTCTTCATTGCTCTTGTAGTGCTTAACTGATCTTTGAAGATATGTAGAATTTAAACAAGGAAGAGCCTAGAGAGAACATCACTGTGGGAGATGGCCAAGCAGAGATGGCTGAGCAAAGGCAGGAATGACATGAAGTGACTAAAGTTGAAAAGGACCCTAATTCCTCTAGATCAAAGAGAGAACCCATCTTACTAAGAATTGGAAGATTAAGGTGGAAATACTGACCTGACTTTAGAAGTGTGTCCTTGGTCCAATAGTCACTAAAAAGTTTCACAATTTTTTTTGAAGAAAATAATATATTTTAAGCAATTGAGGCAAGATAGCCTAAGATTGGGCTATCACTGGGAAAGAAATATCAGGGGCAGAATGCACCCTATTTGGAAATCATTGAGGGGTCAGGTTATAGGAAAAACGAAAAGAGAAGAAGGGAAATATCCCAGAGGTATGACAAGCCTTGTAAGATTAGCTCAGTATCCACTTTCTAGGGACATGACTGAGTGAGCCTCCAGAATAAGTGAAGTGCAGCTGGATTAGACGGAACTGACTCAAGTTCCTCTAGCTCTTCTGAGTGAGTTCTACATATTTAGTTCAACATATTCATGCGTTCATATACCTGTTCAACTATTTATTCAATGTGTCAGCTGCCATGCTAGGAAGTAAATAAAACTTGCTCCTACTTCCCAAAAGCTTAGAATCCAGTGGCTCAGGAGTGGAAGCAAACACATAATTGTGATACAGTGTAACACTGTGCGTGAGTGGCACCCTGTGTGCGGTATCCAAGGGACACAAGGTGAAATGATTCACTTTGTCGGAAGGTGTCAGAAACGGCTCCAGAGAGGAGGCAGCACTNGTTCAACTGTTTATTCAATGTGTCAGCTGCCATGCTAGGAAGTAAGTAAAACTTGCTCCTACTTCCCAAAAGCTTAGAATCCAGTGGCTCAGGAGTGGAAGCAAACACATAATTGTGATACAGTGTAACACTGTGCGTGAGTGGCCCCCTGTGTGCGGTATCCAAGGGACACGAGGTGAAATGATTCACTTTGTCGGAAGGTGTCAGAAACGGCTCCAGAGAGGAGGCAGCACTTGAGTTGGAACTTGAAAAAATAAGCAAGCTTGCCAGGTGAACACCTACTTCAGTCTTTTTCCAATATCCCCATTACCAGGTAAATGCCATTACCCTGTAGAACTTCATTCATACTTTTTAGGACAGAAGTTATCAGTTCTTTTTTTGTTCACATACCCCCTAAAAGAAGTTTGGAAAATCACATACCCCTTCACATTATTTAACTTGACATCTAAATTTTTTTTTATCACAAGTTTAAATAATTTCAAAGAATATCATTTCCAACGTGATGTGAATGCTGACATTTAAAAATAAAAGTATTATAGCATTTAAAAAAAATGTGTTCAGTGGAATCTCAATGCCGTGATGATTTATATTGTTACCGTCTTTCATTTTTAAAACACATGAACAAGCTCTTCTTTAGCAATTTGCATATTTTACATATTTTTCCTTTGAATTCACATTTTCCATCCATTCCCCCCACAGAATTTTATCCTAATATTATGTATTTTTATGCCTTGAAGTGTTTTCTTGATTACACTATTGTACTTCTCTTCGAGAAGATATGTATAGTAATTGAAACTAATTTATTTTAGTTTCCTGTGGCCATAAGGCTCTAAATATTTAAAATGTTCTCCTGAGTTGAGTTATTATTAAATTTAATTTTAGTGTACAATTGAAACAACATAAATATATTTTAAATGTTGGTAAATAATGATTGCACAAAAAAATTAAATTTTCATTTGAAATCAGTCTTTCTAAAATATGAATGCGGCTTAAAAAAGTAGTCCATATATTTATTGCCAGAAAGAGACATGGGCTCAGCAATAATTTTATTGTTACTTTTTGGTGTCTATCTTTTGTTTTGTTTTGCATGTATGCACTAGAAAAGCTTGTTCACATAAATTCATAGACTGTAGTGAAAGCATTTTATTTCAACAAGGTCATTCAGTTCTTTGAACTCCTGAGTTATATGCCAAAAATCATGTAGTGGTCTGTTATAAAAAAATTACTTTTAATGATCTACCAACTGGCAATTTGATTAAGTCCTCTTTCAATCTTGTTGAAAGGAAAGAATACCATCTCAGTTGCAAACGGATTTGGTACTTAGTCTGTAGGGACTTTCACTTTTTCAGCCCCCAATCAGCATTATTTCTACAACCTGTAGAGCTTGTTTTTAGCCCTTCTGTAGGGACTTTCACTTTTTCAGCCCCCAATCAGCATTATTTCTACAACCTGTAGAGCTTGTTTTTAGCCCTTGTAAGTCCTAGCCGTGTATTTTGTGTTGGCTTTAGAGCATTTATACCACTTCCCAATCATTATCTTCACTTTATCATCATTTATAATACCAAAATGAAGCCTGGTTAACCAACTCATCTCATTCACCATAGTTAGCTTCTAATACTTTCCACTTTTTTCAAAAATCAAATACATTCTCAGTGATGAGGATTTTCTATCATTGAGGATATATTCAGCTCTAAAGAGTTATTCTGGAAATGTTGTGAACACTGACAACATTGTTGGGGTAAGTGTCCTTCCCAGAGGGGCTACTTAGAAGGAGACAATCCTCTTTTGGATTGACCACTTATAGTATAGTTACACCTGATACTATTTTCTTTCTCTTCGGGCAGCTTTTTTTTTTCTTGGTCAATATAAAATGGCTTTTCAAGATCATATATATATTTTAAATTTATAAATTTGGGGTAAGTGAGTCAGTTTCCCAGAAACAGGGTCTAATCTCAAACTTCACTCAATTCATTACAGTATTTGTTTAGTGGTCTTGAGAGGCATGATGAATTGAAAGAGGTTTCCCAATATTCTGCCCTTCTGGAGCAGAAGTATGTATGTAGAGAAAGGCTTCCATATCCTCTGAAACTTGCCAGTGAAACTTGTTCCCAGGGGATACCCAGGCCTTGGCAAGACTGGGTACAAAGTATTTAAGGACTCAAGGAAGAATCTTTGATCTCTATGCAGCAGTGGTTAGATCATGGCTTTGGAAACAAGAGGCTCTGGGATGGAATTCCACTCTGCCTCTTAGGAACTGTGTGACCTTGAACAAGGTCCTTAGGTGGTGGGTTGTCTGTTTGCTCATCTGTTAAATAGGAATGAAGCTACTGGCCTGCGAGTGTGTCAGGAGGGTTAATGAGAGCACATATTCAGGACAGTGCCTGTCCTGATGCAGGTCATCAAGAACTCTCAGCCCCCTTCCCCGCCGCCAAGGCTTCTATCCAGGATTGGTGGGGCCTGAAGTTTATACAGATTAGAGGTGTTTCTTTAAGAAAAACTAATACAAAACACAGATATTGGGTATTGAAGTGAATATTTAGAATAAGAAAAAAAACTGCAAGAACTTACAAATTTAAAAAGCTGACAACAATCCTAATGTGAACTCTAGACTTTAATAATTAATGTTAATAATGATGTATCAATATCAGCTCAGTTGCAACAACTGTACCACACTAAGGCCAGATGTTAATAAAAGGGGAGAAGAGGGGTGAAGGGGCGTATGGGAGCTCTCTGTACTATCAGCTCAGTATTTCTATAAACCTAAAATTGTCCTAAAAAATAAATCTATTGATTAAGGTAAACATACATAGACACACATATATACTCCCCAACATATGTAGATAAATTGAAAAGATATCCTAGATTTTCATGACATGAAAACATTCTATTCACAGGGAAGAGTAACTTCTAAATGACAAGCAAATAACTCAAGAAAAAAAATGCTGAGAACACAAACTTCACAAAACAACAGAAAAAAATAGCATAATGTTTTTATTAATTTTACCTTCCCGATACATCTATAGTATTTCTTCCTATATTGTTTGACTGAATACTCTTTGATGGCCTCTGCATGTGACAACAATTTTGCGAGTTCGATTTCTATAAAAAGAATAGAAAGATAATCCTCTATCATGGTTGATCAAAGATTTCTTTAAATTTTTTATTGATAGTTTCAAAAGGTTTCTTCCAGATTTACAAATTGTTTTAGGTAATGTCATGTGAATTTTTAATCAAATTTAAGAAAGCCTATAATGAGTTTCTTTCATATTTGAGCAGTGAGATTTCAGGGTATTTCAATTTATTTTTGCCTTGTGATCTCATCTTAAATACTTTTAAAATTGAGAATTGGAAAGAGGTCATGCAAGGGAGGGGCCCTGGAACACAAGCATCATAGAAAATCAGCCTTCACCCCCTTCCTTACATAATATTTCTCTAAAGATCATTTGTATTTAATATTTATATAAATCAGTGGCTCTCGTTTGTATATGATAAAATAATGCCTTTGTGGATCTCTTCATGAAAAAAAAAATTTCACTGGCTTCTCTTTCCTTCTTTGAAGTGCACAGTGACTTGTGGCCGAGGGTTACGTTACCGGGTTGTTCTGTGTATCAACCATCGTGGCGAGCACGTTGGGGGTTGCAACCCACAACTGAAGTTACACATCAAAGAGGAATGTGTCGTTCCCATCCCATGTCATAAACCAAAAGGTAAATTGGTGGTGTATTTTAAATTCAAATCAAATGGTGTTTTGCAGCGCTCATTCCAATATTGCAGCATTTCTGACTACCTTTCTTATACAAATTGTCTTATTGACAGACTGAAATTGACCTGTTCACCTATGTAAAGAGGTTTGGATGTGTGATTTATTGATCTGGAGGGAAAAATGAGCTGTCGATTCAGTGCATATTGAGCATCTCCTGTCTGTCTAGGCTTTTATTAACATTTCTTGGTGAACGTAAAATAATTTGGTGTGGTCTTGGTGTTGAAGAAAAAAGAGGAGAAAAAGAAAGAAGGGAATGAAGAAGGAGGAAGAGAAGGAAGATCAGGAAAAGGAGGAGGAGGCAGAGGAGGAGGAGAAGCTTATTAACTTCCATTCCCCCAAGGTTCTCACTCTCTGATCCCACAGTGCTTTGCACAGACCTTTCCACTGGAGTGTAAGTTTTCTGAGGGAGGAAAACTTCGTTGTGTGTCCCAGCACATGGACTGAATGAAGACCTCCAGTTTTCCAGTCTGGATCTATAGATGCATTTGTAATTTCTCTTGCAGTTCCCATCTGTTCCACATGAATTAGCAGAAATGGGTAGCATCCACGGATAGGACGTCTTGGCATCGTCTCTCCTATATATGCTCCTCTGTCTACATGATTATTTCCATGTACTTTAGTAAGGTATTACCAATTCTAATGACAGCTATCTTCCTTCTTGAAATAGAAAAAAGATTATTCCCACGTGTTAGTAAGAAGGACGCTTCCTTGGTACTTTAAAGGAGGATGGTAAAATTCTCCTTTGTTATTTTTGGGTTCATTATCCATACAAATAACTTCATAATTAACCATTCAACAAATAATTGTTTGACTGTGTCTGTCTTACAGAAAAATCACTAGTTGCCGTGACAGGTGCGAACACTGATTAGGTAACTCGGTCAGTGAGGTCATTTTTCCTTCCTTCTTCACGCAATAGTGCTTTCCTAGCCACTCTCTCAGTGCCTGCAATTTCCCTGAAACAGCCCAAAGTTATTTCCTTTCTCACTTCTTAACTAGATTGTTTTTTTTCTTCATGTCTAAGGAGGCTTCAAAGGACAGAAAGGGGCACCAGTTTGTTGCTCCATGCCAGATGTAATTAGCAGTTGTCTCCCTCCATAACTATGATGACAGTAAAAGTTTGAGTAAACTGTATCATGGACTCTCTCATCCTCCCACCTTTCTTAACATCCGTGTCTTCTGCTTTTCTCTATTAACT